GGAACAGCGAAGGGAGCACGGCTTTGTAGACCACATGTGAACTCGAGCTACCTGATTCAATTTATTTAAGCAAAACTTGAGAGTGATTGATTTTTCAAGGCATCATTTTTTCAGAATTTCTGTATCAAGTAGTATTTTAAACTGGGTTTAGTTATTTTAAAATTAATAGGCCAAACTACCAGTTGGACAGAATGCACAGAAACGTCTTCCAGTGGTCACTTCAGGAGTCTTACTGCTCTTCAAACTTGCCACAGAGATTTTTTTGCAAATATTCCCTGGTCCAAGGTACCCTCCTCCCAAAATATTTGGCAATAAATCATAATTTCAGTGACAACGTTGCTGTGGTACTCAGTTGTCCAGTGAAACTTTTTTTAAAATTCAATTTAAATCAGATGTTAATAGATCTTTGAAAATCTTTTAAAGAAAGTTGGAGGCACTTGAGAATTTATGTTCTCTGTATTTTCACTTCAACTGCTACAGCTGCATCATAGTCTGGATTGTTACATCCTTGAAAACATTATCACTCTTACCATAGAAAAATTACCAAAAAAATGAAAAAAAAAAAAAAATTAACTCCTTCACACGATTAAGTCTCAAACAGTTTTTTTTCAAATATTGGGTAATTAGTTAATTAGCTGGGCAACTGTTAGAAAGAACACTGGGTAAGGATTCTCTCTTCTTTTCATAGGGTAAAAAGAAAAGTAATCTCTATGTGATAACCACCTGCTACGTACCTTCGAGGCCTCAAAGGGAATCTGTTTTGCTCTACAGCATTTTCAGGTTTGCTTTACAGTATAAGGAAACTGGATCCTTACCTCCCACAGTGGGAAATCTTCCACTGGTTCCATGTATGAACTTGAATAACAATTATCCTTTAAAAACAGCACACGAGTTTTTACTTAGATTGGCATTTATATTTTCACTATGCTTAGGGTACAGTAACTATGTTATCTCAGCCTCCATACATAGAGAACTAGATGATAGATGTGAGAAAACAGAAGACAGCTTAATTCTGAGAACATATTTAGATGTGGAAGTTAAGTGAAGCAGTTGCAAGAAAGCCACGTTATTCTCACCTCTTTGCCTTTGCCTGTTAACCATACCATAGTGGACAATTGCAGTCATTCTTAGTGTATGTTTTTAATGAACAGAACATGGCATCAGTGAAAATGTAGGTATACTGTGCCCAAGCTGGGATCACCAGTTACCTTTTACTGTTCTATTTCATTTGCTGGAGCATGTTCATCTCGTATGGGGGAAATATTTAGCTGGAGCCTTTTATGTTTTTAGACACTTTGGGTGTCTAAAGAATATTTCACCTTTTCTCGTTCCCTTTGATTCAAGGTGATGCTTTCTAAGTGTAACTGTTTTTTCTGTCCTTCTAAAGCAGGCTGTCTTCCTGTGCACAAAAGCCCTACTACAGCATTGTCTTTTGGAAGGCTGCTGGGCATCATAAGTTTAATTTCTGCCTCTTGCTGCAGCTGTTGCTCTATCATACTGAAAGGACAAGAGCATTCTGCAGCATGTACTCTGATGGAGACTATTGTGCATCCTTGAAGATAAGCAACAGTTGCTGTAAGAACTGGGATTTCGTCTTGCTTAAGCTGTCCTCCACAGCAGACCTTTTGCCCTGGGTTGGGTGTGCAGTGTTACACGTGCTGTTTGGAGGTTCTGCCACCCCTCAGTGAGCAGACCTGAGTGCTGCCATCAGCTGGGTGCAGTTGCTCGGGTGTTGTGCCCTGGACTGGGAACCACCTCACTGCCATGTTAGTTGCCCAATTTATGCAGTCCCTCATGGACACTGTGTTGTTAATAAGGGCTTAACAAAGCATGTGGTAAAAGTAGGCTGGGTTCTTGCCTAATGCTCATGTGAAAACCAGCATTACTTACAAGATGTTAGGAATACTAGGAGAAAGAGCTTCCCTGATAATTGTACTGAAGTAGCTACTTGTACTTCTGTTCCCAGTTCTAGGTTGAACTTTAGCAACCAACAGAGTAGGCACAATAAGCATAGTCATTCCTTCAATTCCCTTTCAATAAGAGGAAGAAGACATGCTTCTCCAAACTTAGAGTTTGTGGTTTTCTTGCCAAATTTAAAAAGAGGAATAGCACCTTCAGCAGTGCAGAAACCCACAAGCTAAATAACTGTAGGAAAATGTGTGTAAAATAGAAAAATTATTTATCGTGCGGAAGCTAAAGGTAATGAGCCTTTCATGATAGCTATTCAATAGAATTTTAAAACAAGCAAGCAAGCAAACAAACAGAACTCCTTCAGCTGGTCCTACCTAGGACATTTTAGGTAGCTTTTCTTGCCAAGAAGATGTCTCTCTTCATACAAACAGTAAAGTGACTGTGAGTTGACTTTTATTTCCTGGCCTTATCTGAAATGGGATAATACTGACCAGCGTAGTTCAGGTGTAACCGTTTGGGTTTCAAGTTCCAGTTTTAATTCAGCAGTTTCCAGGCAAATGGACTTGCTCTGGTTTCACTGAAGCCAAAGCAGGGCTCCTATTCATAAGCTCATTGCTTAGGTATAAAGTAAATAATGTGAATAATGCTGTTCTTTCATTTGTCTACTTAAGTATGTAATAGATCTAGTTTTGTTTAGGAACAACAAGTGCCAAGACAAGTGATAACTTGCTTGCTTTTCTCACTTATAGGAGATAAAACTGCTTCAGCAAAAGGTCATTTTTTTTCCTTGTTATTTCACAGTAGATTATTAAAGAATTGCATTTAAACCATTTCAGTGCAGTTAATGTTTCCTTCATTTGAGGATGACAGCATGACTGCTTTTTTCAGGGATTGTCATGGCAAAAATACCATCACCTCTAGGTTGTTGGATACCACCTTCTGTTTGCTTTCTCTGAGAACAGAAACAATAAACCCTATATTATTTCCTATTCTGTCAGCTTGGCATGCTGATTTATTGTTTGATCATGCACATAGGGTGGGGAGGAATGTGGTGCAGGAACAGGATGGATCCTTCACACAGCCCTGATGGTCTGTGTTGCTATTGTAAAAACACATTCCAGGGAACCTGAAATTGAGGCAGAAATTGTAAGAGAGAGTTTGGGAAGGCTGTAAAGAGCGAGACCTGCTTGATTGTTTTTCATAGGCCAAGCCTAGACAGACTTGATTTTTAGGATGATTGAACACCACTATTAGAATTAAACCCTACTCTTTTCTATGTTTCTGTGTTTTCAAGGTTAGTATAAAGTGTGTTGCTTCAGTTGCATCTCCTGAAAAGCTGTAATTAATTAACAGAGTCTGGTCCTTGGAAAAGACAGGATTTATTATTGATTAAATCTCTTCCTAGTATAGAGAGTGAGTTGATTTATTGTGTGAAACAAGGGAGATAAGAAATGCTGTATATCTCCCCTGTGTACTGGAGTCTCTGATGTGACAGTGGAAACTTGTGGAGGTTTGGTCTTAATTTTATTTTGGAGCAAAGCATTTCTGCTGGCAAACCCACAGTGTTGCTTTTTGTAAAATAAACCATTTGCATGAGGAATATTATTTTTTGAGTAATAAATCCTGTGATTGTTGCACCCATCACTGAAGTAACTTTTTTTTATGGTTCCCATGCCTGAACTACTTGGTCCTGCTGTACTGTGAGTACTACTATGGTCCCTGTGCCAAAGGCATAAGTTTTATTCCTTCCCATTTAGGAATTAAACAAATGTCTAAAGTTGCCTATTGCTGATATGCTTGAGCACTTTATAATTCATCATAGGCTGCTCATAATGTGTACAGTTCACCACTGTGTGGTGGGTTTTTTTTTTCCACATCCTTAATTAAAAATGAAGTGAGATGATCAGTGTGCAGTCATCTCCCTGCCCCCCCTGTGGGACTCTGGCTTTGGCAGTGTTCACCAGTGGGAGTTTCTAATAAAGAAAGCAGAGGGAGACACAAAAGCCCCAAAGTGAGTGAATAGGAGCAGTGCTAACCTGCTAGCTCAGCATTCCCCTGGGTTGTTGGCTGCCGAGCAGCCAGGTGGGGCTGGGTGCAGTGACAAACACAGCTGCCTCTCTGATGCTGCTCGGAGTCTGCTGTGTGACTGACAGACATGTGCAGAATGCATTTTTTGTTTTCATCAACCAGGTGGAGCTGATAAGCTTATAAGAACTAAGGATCACAGATTTTGGGGCTGAGTTAGATGTGATAGAGAGCTGATTCTGACTCCTAGTCTCCCAAGACAGCTGTCTCATTGTTTTGGGTCTTATTTAACTCTTGGGCTTCTGGTTTAGAGCTGCAGTGGCTGGAAGATTAACTTTCTGCAGAAGTTGCTCTGACCTGTTGAAGAGTGCTGATGTGTGCTCTTGCAGGTTTGGTCCTATACAGTATTGACTGTGTGAGCATGCCAAGGTACTCATAGAATGCCTTAGAGTGGGAATGCTAGGAAGGTACAGAGGAGGACATGAGGAAATGGATGAAAATCATAAGAGGTAGCTGGAAGAAAAGTTCACTTTAGTGTCAAACAGGTAACGTGAATAGCAAAGCTGAAGTTCAGTGCTTACCAACTAAACTGGCATGTTGTGATAAATTGGAACATTGTGTTGTCTTCTAAACTTTACAAAGCTTGAAAATTAGCTGCTGCATGTGCTTGATGTGATTGGTATATTGTGGGCATTGGTTGCAATGTGTATAAGCACAAAATTCAAATTCTTCAGAATTTAATATTAAACTGGTAAGGTCTAAAATATTTTGTGATTATTTTCATTTTCCTGCTGATTTTTTTTGAATGTAGGTTATCTTTCCATAAATGGATTGTGGCTTTCAACTTTTCTCCTGTCCAGCAGTGCATGTGTGTGTACATGTGTGCTTGTGAGGCAGAGCTGTGGCTGAAAGTAAATCAGATGGCAGAATTGTGATAAAAAGATGTTTTTTACAGTCAGTCCAGTGAGGGTGAGATTCTAGAGTAAAGAGTAGTTCTCTATGGAAGGTGAGAACTTTGGCTTTTAATTCTGCTTGTGGATATATCTTTCTCTTTGCTTTTCTTCCCAACAGCTGAAAAATCTGACTTTGGTACTTGTTTGACTAGAACTGTATAATAAAACTTTGAAAAATTTCTTTGTCTCTTCTCAGGCTGTATCTCAGCAGACTGTCTAAGCAGAGATGATGTGTTTCTGTGTATTTAAGGTATGGTTTTGAGGTTTCTCACTCTAGGGTTTATGCAAAGATTGTCTGCGAGAGCAGACACCCAACTTGCTTTGTGTTGGTTTCAGCAAGTGAGAAAATAACTGTGTGCTGTGTTTCTCCAACATTCATAAGCTATTCTGTTTCCAGTGACACTGTTCTCAGAATAAGAAGGGAATATTCAAGGGATGAGATTAAACCTTATGTTTTCATTGTATAACTTGCCAAGAAGAGAAGAATGTGTGTGTGGAGGAGGCTTAAGACAGTGAATATCTGTGGCATCTGGGTGAAATTATGAACAATAAAATAACTATCAGCTGGAATTTCATAAGCAGCTAAACAATGACCATCTAGGGCATGCTGAGTGAAAAGGACATGTCTAAAGTAAAGCATGCTCACGCAAGGAATGTCCATACAGTCTGGCATGAAGCCAAGTGCATACTGAATTAGGTCACTGCTTTAAGTGTGAATGTTTCCCCTCTTTAGAAAGATGTACTCATCCTTTGCAACAAGGAACCAAAACAGAATGCTAATACAATAAAAAAAAAATTTAAAAGCATTTTCAATTAGCATGCCGGTCTATTCCCTTGTGCTTAGGGAATCAATGAGCTCTTTTGTAAGGAACAGAAACATTTCCATAGTTGAATATACATAAGGCCTTGGAAATCCAGAAAGAATTAACAACCAGTTGGCTCTGGAAAGCTTGCAGTTCTTTATAAGCATTGTATAAGCCTGAGATGTCTCATTCTTTGGAGATCATAGAGGCTACTGCAAATATACTTGTTCTGAAGAATTGAAATAAAGTGAAATATCAGCATGTGCAATTTAAAATTTTGGAACTTAATCTTTCAACGCTTAAATTCCAGGGACTTCTGCATGATTACTTACTTCCAGGTAATCTTATTACTCTTTTTTGTAAACTTCAGAACGTACCATGTAACACAGTTAATTTCCCTATTGGGATTCTTGGGATCCCATGTGCTTTTGTTCATTCTGGGGTTTCACAGCCTGTTTTTTCTTGTAATCCTATTCTACAGCCTGGGAGTAGTTACTGGAATTCCTAAAATTAGTGCTGTGCCAGACCTAATTCATATCAAATTTGGGTTGTAAATATGCAAAAATAGGGCTTTTTCTGAAAAGAAAGGATATCGAAATAGAGTTCTCATAAACTGTCCTTTTCTGATAAGAGGGAATATTCTTGCTGGCTTCACTCACTACTTGGAGTATTCAAGATGAAATCTGTGTCTGACTCCTTTATGATGACTCTTCTCAGCAGAAGTAATACTGAAGGGAAAAAAAAAGTTGTCCAAATTGGCTCAGTCCCCACAGCTTTAGCAAGCTAGCTTACCCATTCAGCTCTCCATGTGCAATTTGAAATTTTAATATTCAGCATAAGTGGTTGCATGAACATTCCTTGCCTTTAAAGGCCACTGGGAAGCTGTAGCAGGAAAAATGCCTGTTCTTTAGGGTGTTGCATGAAACTGGTTAAACATAAATAAGCAATGACTATCTCTGTGTAAAAAGGCTGTCTGGTTAATAAGATTGTCACTAGCCCTCTAGATAAAGGGTTTGTGCTAACGAAGGAATAATTAGAGCCTAGAAGGAAAAGGATCAGTGAGCTGTTTACGGCCCACCATGTGTAGTTCTTAATGCTTCAGAAAGGGCTTATTGTATGTCTTCACCAAGCACCCCTCTACCAAACAGCCCTGTAATGTAAACAGGTGAAGTGCCAGTGGGAAGGCTCAGAAATGTGCAGATATTCCTAAGCTTTTGTTCTTGCCTTGGTGATGCGGAGCCAGCGGTGAGTCCCTGTGGAGGTGTTTTGATGTCCTTAATCCATGCTTACCATGATAATGTATGTTCAGCCACAGTTAATAAAATTATGAAGAACAGAGTTGTTCCCTTGCTGCCCCCTGCTATTGCCTGAGGGAATCTTAATCTCCTGGTACATTGTGTTCTCTTGACATCATGTCAGGAGATCTGTTGTCACTTGCTTCTAAGACATGAATGAGACCTAAAGAAATTTAGTGACTCATCGAAGTTGAACATAGGGCAATTTATTGGTAGAGCAAGAACTGAATACAAAGGCCAGGGAGACTAATGTCCCAACTTCAGGGGTATCTATTTATCGGTTAGCAACAGTTAAAATAGTTGGAATGAGATTTATTGTTGTTTTATGTAAGTCAGGTGGTTTGATCACTTTTCCATATGCCTTTATTGATTGAAGATGTGCTAGCTTCTGCATGGAGTGGGTTTAGTACAGTCTGGCATTTATCGAGGTTTAAAGAAAGTTATGGTTCTTTAGGCTATTAATTGTGGCTTCACCTCTTGCAGTCTAATAGAACAAGATTTCAGTAAGAAATGTGAAAAACCATAATGTAGTCATCTTTCTACTGAAGAAATCTTGAAGTGATATTACGTGATTTTTGTGAACTGGCTTTATCCTGTAGATTGTTGTTTCTTCTGTCTCCCTTGATTCACCACATCTGGATGGTGGTCAGTAGTCTGAGGATACATCTGGTGTTGATCACTCTTTATGGGTACTTAATTTGCATTTATATAATGTTGTCTTTGTGAAATAAGGAGTGACTAACTTCTGCCTTATTTTGACTTGGAATGATGTTATGTAGTATTCAGTTGAAAAGGCTGTTATTTATTTTCTATCAAAGTTTTTAGTGGTTTTTCCGAGTTCGAAAAGCATCAGTTTCAGGTAACTACTGCCTTTAAGCTGCTGTATTAAGAATTTCTACGTAATCCATCTAAATTATTCATTAAAAGAGACTTTAACACTAGAGATACTAAAAAATGCTTCAAGCAGTGCTGTAGACTTGATCTGAACAACTCCAAGGTGTTCAGCTGTTGCCAAACTTAGTGTGCCTGACATGCCTGCAAACTTAAGGTCAGCTATCACAGGCATTGCTGTTGGTGAATATATTACTTAATCTTTCAGGGCTTGTAATTGAAGCTTTCTTGCAAATACTGAATATCATGATACCACTGATCGGGGTACCCCATTCTCACTAAAGCAGTATCCTGATGCTGGAAGCCAGAGGGAGAGGAGAAGAGTCACAAAGACATAACTTGGGAGCCACACTGCAAGGTGTTTGTTGTAAACACATGGAGTGCATCGTGGCATCCTGACTGACTTGCAAGGTCAGAGGAAGACAGGCTTTGTGGCTGCTGGCAGTGCTAGATAAGTCTGTCCAACCCATATATAAGGAGTATTGGAGTGGGTAATTTTTTTCCAGTCTCATAAGTGTACTGAAACTAAACAGGAAGTCTCAGAACTTCCCCCAAACCGTAACTGCATAACACAGCTGAAATGGATGTATAGCCCTAGATATATTTAAATGAGTTTCACTTATTTTATACAAGCAAATTTTAACTGAAAGTATTTTATTAATGTTAGAAAGTGAACTAACATGCATTGAGCCTACTTCTTGGCTTTTTATGCTGTCATTAAAGAGGCCCATTAGATGTTTAGCTGACTGTCATTGCTGAGCAGGATTTTTGATATCCCCCTCTTGCATAACTCTGGTCTCTTTCCCTGGTCTTTTTCTCCAGGCTGGTTTGGTCAGTGGTATAAGAGTGCAAGTAGTTAATGCCTCTTCACACTAGTCTAACCATATCAAAAGATGGAAATGTTAATGAATGGATAATATGAGGCTCCCTTTCATCAATCAGGAATAGGGGTTTGAATTTTAATTTCTGTTGAATTTGACTTAATCTGAAATGCTGTTTCTGTAAGCTTTGATATTTAAATCTACAATTCATGAGTGAATAGTTATACCCTGAAAGATATTTACTTTAAGTAAAAGCAAAAGAAATTGCAAGCTTCTGCTGCTTCAAAAATAGTTCTTGGAGTTTTGTTTTTTTTTGAGTTTAGAGGAGTAGAAAGGACATGGAGTGGGTTTGTTGGTGGTTTTTTTCTCCTACAGAGTAAAACAAAACAAAAAAACTAAGAAGGAATGGGAGAGTTAAAACAAAACATGATGAAACTGGAATAACCTTTACTGCTTTACCTAGCTGTGTGACAAATGCATTTCATTATACTGTCCATATTATTATTTTCCAGACGCTATGTCAAAGGGAGTCACTTACGGGTAATGTAAAGGAAAAAATAATGGTTTCTTTCTCCTTTTCTCACCTGTTCCACCAGCAGTCCTTTGCATCCATCCATGTGTTCCGACTTTGTTCATGTGTTTTCCAAATGACTGGCTGCTATGTAGTTCTAATATGCACCTTTCTTTTAATTCTAGGTTCTGTCTTCATTTTGCTGACTCAAACCACATATTCCAAGGAAAGGAGGGGAAGTGGAATAAAGTACTCAAGTGCCAGAGGAGAAGCTAGACTAGCCAATGAAAATCACTGTTACTAAACTGCAGACTGCTCTCACACATAGTGGGGGAAAAAATTGCTGTCTGTTCAAAGCCTATAAAATTACTTTTGCAGACTTTCCTCAAAGAACTTGAAATAGGCTAAACTCCTTCAAATAGGACTGAATTAGGAAATGGAAATATGACTCCTTGCTGGTGTCTCCCATCCTCCTCCCTTTTTGCAGTTGTTTTTTGTTTGGGGTAGGAGATCCTGAACAAACTGTATGGCGTCAACCAGGCTTACAGTTGATGGTTATGGATGACATAGGAACTTCAGATTTACATCTCTGCCATGACACCTGATTAAGGCAAAGGTTGAAAACTGCTCATCAGCTATGTTACCAGAACTTGTAGTAGCTGTTACAGTTGTACTTTCCTTCTCTTTCTAAGATTTGATGTCTGGGGTGATGTTCCCTGGAAAGCGTGAGCAAATAAGTCATCTTTTAGGATTGGAAACAGAAATAATATAAGAATGCCCAGAAGAGGCTTAGTAATTCAAGCCAGGACTCGTTGGCTCTTAGTGGGCATTGCTTTACTGTTCAGTTTAGTCTTGCTCATGTATTTGCTCGAGTGTGCTCCGCAAACGGATGGTAACGGATCTTTACCTGGTGTTGTAGGTGAAAACATGGGTAAAGAATATTACCAAGCTCTCTTGCAGGAACAAGAAGAGCATTATCAAAACCGAGCTACCAGTCTGAAACGTCAGATTGCCCAGTTGAAGCAAGAGCTTCAGGAAATGAGTGATAAATTGAAGTCCCTGCAGGAAAAAAAAAGCCCAAAGGTCAATGGTATGAACTACCAGGGCACCAAAGAACAAACATCCAATGATCTCCTAGAGTTTCTTCATTCCCAGATTGACAAAGCTGAGGTGAGCATGGGGGCCAAACTGCCTAGTGAATATGGCGTCATTCCTTTTGAAAGCTTTACATCCATGAAAGTGTTCCAGTTGGAGATGGGGCTCACTCGGCATCCAGAAGAGAAACCCGTTAGAAAGGATAAACGAGATGAATTGGTGGAAGTTATCGAGGCTGGCCTAGAAGTTATCAATAATCCAGATGAAGAAGATGGACAAGATGAAGACGATGGAGTAGGAGAGAGGCAGCTGTATGGTGAAAATGATTTTATAGAAGGTATGTTTATTACATACTTTCCAGTCTGTTAACAGAATGTCACAACAGGCATCTAATGGTGTTTGTACTTCTGTATTTTTTACCTACTTGAATAGAGTCTTGAACAGTAATTACACAGTAAGAACTGTTATTTCTAATGATGAGAATATTATTGCTTCATTGTATTGTGTTTTGAGTAGGGAGTAAGGAATGCATTTCAGGAGAAGGGCTCACCTCGAGAATTGTACAGGGGAAGCTGTACCCGTTTAAAATGCTGAGGTATTAATAGATTGTAGCTTAAGTCAGTGTGACACAACTGCTTATGGTATTAAATAACCTGAGAGTTCCCAAGAAACTGGTGGCAGTGGGAGGGAGAAATTGCTTCTTGTTTCAGAGTATTTAAGCAATCTAATATGAAGCTACAGGGTTTTTCTTCATTCATCTCTATGCCACTTTTAGCTAATATTCAGGCTTTTGACTCTCTTAAGAGAGTTGGAATACTCACTGGAGAGAGAGCGTTGAAAGGCTAATGTGTTCTGGTCATGTCAGCTGAAGAACTTGGTGTCCTGAGCAGACCTTTCATGGTATACCAGTTTTGGGCTCCATTAAGTTTTGCAGTCTTGAAGTGTTTTCTTGCTCTCTCTTCAATTTTGTCTCAGTGCTTCTAAGTTTGATAACAGAACACATATTATGAAAGCATATGTAGCAGTTAAGCTTTCAACCCTTAAAAGGTGCATTAGTGACAAATCCCGTAGGAGGTCTCTTTCAAGGTACAGTCTAGTGCTGATGGAGATAAACATTACCAAAAAATGCCCTAGTACCTGTTCTTTATATTTATGGTATTAAATGCAGTTCATGCTGCCATAAAATAACCAATGGTGGACTATGTTAAAAGACCATTACTGTAAAAGGGACTCTGGATCTCAGCAGTGCTGATGTCTGTGCTGTTTAGCAAACATTGGACAAAGGTACTGTTGGCCTTGAAGTAATTGGCTCTTTCAGTCTCAGATGATGTAATTGGTCTGTAGTGCAAAAAGTCTCTGCTTTTAACAGCTACTGTGTTTAAAGTTTTCTGCAAGTACTGTTGTTCATTCCAAAAGGTGGGGCAGGGTGTGGAGGCCTCTCAGCTGGGTCTGTGTAACACAGCCAGCACAGTGTCAGGCTCTTAGTACAGTTCTCATTTAAACCCATATTTTTTTGTCTGGAGGTGGTCATTCTTGCAGTCTTTTAATTGCTTTATTTCTGCATTAAGTACTCAGCTGCTTTTTTAGATAATGCTTATATTCTAGTGGATTTTTATTTTACCATGACTGAAATGGCTGTTGATTTTCTAGTGTACTGCCTTTACTGACAGACCTTCAAGAAAACAAGTAGCTTTAGGACCTTAGAACTAAATACCTCTGCCTCTGTTCTCACCAATATATTAATAATTGGTTTTGGAAATCAAACTAATTTTCTTTTGCTGTAAAGACAGTCACTTCAAACACAGAGTTACAGGAACTATAGGGAAAGAAAAGTATTTATGCTGTATGTGGGTGTGTTAGCAACTAACCATAGTGATACCTATATCTATTGGCATCTTTTTTTCAGACAGAAGTTGTGGGTTGCGTGGGCGTTCTGTGTTTTTTTTAATGTGCAAATACTACTGGCTAACTTAGCCAGCAAAACCAAGGATGCTTCTGAATATTAACACGTTTCCCTCCACCCCCCCTTGTTGTTCCAAAACCTGTGGGTGAGAAATGGAACCAGTCAGTAGTGGTACCCGCAGGTCCCTTGCCCTGCGGCCCTGTGGGTGGGCTCTGGCACTCCACCTCCACTGTCAGTTTGTTCATCCCTGTTTCATGGAAGTCCATTGGAAAGCTGATGCCTTTCTGTTTAGAAAATATTGCTCCCTTAAACTGTCATAAATGGGTAGGTTTAAGTTTCATAATAAGCTTGGTGTATCTACAGGTCCTATAACTGTCCTAAGAGCACATCTAAATTTTTGCTGGATGAGCATTGCTCATTTAGAGAAATAGTTTTTTGAAGTTGTCTTCAGTGAAAATAGATAAGTTCTGTGTCCCCTTCAGTTGGTAATAGATTATTTTGTAATAAGTAGTTTGGGACTAAAACTAGAGTATTGTGTCATTTGAAGCCTGGAGGCTGAGAAACTTGGTGTGAGGATTTATTTGTTTCTTGGTTCTGGGACAAAAGAGAAAACATGATCCTGCATTAGTTAATACATAACCATCATATTTTATGCTCAGTATAGATAAACTGATTTTGGTTTGTTCTGACTTATAGGATTTTTTTTTCTCAGAACTAATTCATACATATCTACCAAAACTTACCCACAAAACTGTGCCATAAGTACAAGCTAAATGAGAAACAGGTATTTTTATTCTAGAAGTAGCTTCTTACCTCAACAGGCTAAATTTTCATGCAGGTAAAAGTTTGCTTCTGGGATTTATGTCAGCTTTTTTCACAGACTTGTGAAACAGTTAGACTAAACTTTGAACTGTGTAATCTTCTGTGATATGTACTTTCAGGTACTCTCTCCTTTAGAGAATTTGGTGACTGTTTAAGTTTAGAATATGTTTTCTTAAAGATGGTTTTACCTAATGGTATCTTTAAATCTCTGCTGAATAGGTCTGCAGTTCTTCCCCAGTATTTATGTTGCCTCTGCCCAGTCAGTAAAGTAGCGCTCACTTCATTTGAAAAAGCATCAAGAACTTTTTTTTCTTACTGTGTTTTAGGATTCATCTATATTGGATTAACTGGGGACAACAAATATGAATAATTTAAAATGAATCTGCCTTCTATTTTATAAATGGAAACTTCCTAAACAAACTTTTTTCTGAAAAAATAGACTTAATTAGTCAATAATGCACATGGTAGTCTGAATCGACTGATTTTTATTACTCTAACACTGTCCACTGTGTAGGCCAAAAAACTTCAAAATACATGCTGACTAACTTTGTTGTCACTGTATTTTTGCTCTTTGTCCTTAAATTAATTGTTCAGGCAACATCTTGGCTGCATGCTAAGCCTTTCTGGTCTCCACATTAAGATGTTCTGTCTTCTACCAATGTTGAAAGGAAGCTCTATGCATGATAGGGAGCCATCTGTTCAAGTGTTTTCCAAACTGATGTTATTTTTTTAGTTGCAAAACAAAGTGATGACCCAAATCTGTGGGCTGCCACAGCCACATCATGACTATTGGCGAGCAATAACACCAGGAAAAAAGAAAAGACTTCTAAGTATACATTACAGCTACAAAGATATTTTCTCAAAGCTCCAAATTATTCTTCACAAAGCTCAATTGTCTTGCTCTGCTGATGAAGAGAACCAGCAAGTTTCTTCTGTTTGCTGCATCATCACCTGTTTTGCTTTGCTACAACCCATAATGAAACTTCCAGAATTCTAATATTAACAGAATAAAAATCTGACCTGAAAAAGGTCTTATTTTGCAGTTGCTGTTTGAGAAACACTTTGAAGTTGTTGTTTTTCTTAGTATTTCCATTAGATCTAAATTTATGAAAACCAGAAGTATTCTATTCCCCGTGGATGAAGTTTATCCCTAGAGAGGATAAAAGATGCAATTTTACATATTTTCAAAAATGGATGGATTTAGGATTACAAACAATGAACCTAATTGCTGAACTGCACACTCAAAGATAGTCCTTGATTAAAAATAGATTTTTTTGAGATCAGTATTTGATAACATTGAGAACTGGAGGGTAATTAAGATGAGAGGACCATAATAGTGTTACCTCTGTCTGTTCCCTTTCTCCAGAACCCTGTGACATTGTCTTTAATAGTGATACAGAACTCACTGAGGAGCCTTCATGGACATCTGTACTTCACTATCAGTGTAATTGGTTTATTTGGGTTACATTTATCAGGGTAACTGTCTTACTTTATTAAGAGATTAAAAAGCGCTTCCATTTTAAATTAACCTTTGGAAAAAAGAAGCATTAGCATATTTTCAGATGCTAATTATCAATTAGCTAACGTCTAATAAAGGTCTTGTAATTGGATGTTTAGCAGTGCTACCGTTTGGGTCCATTTCTCTTGCTTCTGTGTTTCCATTTGGAACTAGGCAAAGGCCAGAAACTTTTTCTTTAGGTCTGAATCTAAAGAGAAGACTTTCCACCCATCCTTGGCATGTAAAAATTCTTTATTCCCATGCTGCAAGCTTGAAGTCAAAACTCTTCCAAAGTCCTTTACATCCACAGAACAGTCTGGACTGTTTGTCATGCAGACAGCCCCTCTAGTGTGTGCTGCATAAGACCAGAAACTGGCCAGTGTCCTGGGAACTTCAGTGGAGAATTTTAATACACACCAACAAAGAGATAGGTCTTCAATTCATAGACCAAACACCTTCTTCAAGGCAATAGAAGAACAGCTTTTTGGCTTTAGTAGTAACTGATATCCAGTTATTCATATGTTTAATTTGTTTGGTGAGAAACAGAACTTCTGCAAAGGGAGTAAAACTTCATGGACCAGGAATAGCAGCTGTTAAATTATTTCTACTGCTTTTTCAGTCTTTACTTATGGAGTTCTATTTTGAATGGCAGCCAGTGTATGCCAGTTGGAAGGTGAGATAACAGGTTTTATTACATGAGTCAGTCCCAGGTGTTAAAAACCTGAATATGCTAAGAGGTAAACCAGATGTGAATTCTTTTTCTGGCTTACATGTATTTTAGTTCTCAATTCTGGTTTACATGCATTATTTTCAATTCTGGTTTACATGTATAGAAGCTTTAATTCCATAGAAGTATTCATAGAAGATTACCAACAGAGGTTAGCTCATAGCAAGGAGAATTACTATTTAGAAGAAGTGTGATGCTAGTGGCATGTTGAGATTCAAAAGTTTATAATCTCATATTCCAACAGTTGAATGTTGCAAATTCGAATTTGCATATTAAGGTCCTTATAAAGTTACAGCAGCATTTTTTTTTTAAGTCTAATATAGAAATTTTTATTCTGTATTACAGCATTCTATTCTAGGCTGACATCTAAGCTTATCCTTTGATTAAAGATAAGCTTTTGGCAGACGACATGCTTTTTAAAAACTTACGTTGTAAATGGTATTTTTATCTGTAAACAGCTATTGGATACTACAGAAAAGAATTTAATATACAATACTGAATGTTAATTTACACAGGAGTACTGGTAAAAAGTATTTGCTGAATATTACATGAGAGCACAATGTGCAAGTACTGTGGTGCATCAGCTGTTCCAATAACCAGGATGCTGTTTTCAAGCTTCAGTGCTGGTCTAGTCAGCACAGAGAGTTGGAGTGGAAAAGGATTGACGGGGATTGAAAAATCTTTCTGACATTGTTTGAAACATGGTTTTCAGGACTTGTAATTAATACTGATTTGAAACTGAGCATTAGAATGTGGTGCATACTTAATGCAGCTCTATGTTGACAAAAGTATAAATGGATTTCTGCTTCTTCAAAGAGAGCATTGCAGGACTTTGTTCCGAGGGTAAAAAGCATCTCTGTGGAAAAGTTAGATTTAGTCACCATTAACTTCCAGTGAGATGTCACCAACTTGTTCTGCTACAGCCTGTCTCCCAGAGGGTCTCATCCACGTTTCCCATCAGGTCTGCCAGTGCACTTGCTTGTCCACAAGAAGGAGTGGATTATGGAGCTGAGTATTGGAGGGGAATAAGGAGCTTGACGTAAAAGAGAGGCTGTTTGACATAAGGAGGGGATATCAGTGAACAAAACTGGGTTTGCTTTGGGGGTGGAGGCAGGAGCAGAGGAACACAGAGGGAGTTAGGTAGATTTAGGGAAAGGACGCTTTGTAAAGGGAGCCTGGGATATAGAGAAAAAAGTTAGGGCAAGGTGGTATGCACACTGCTTTGCTTCTTGTACTGAATGAGAAGGTAATGTCAGGCAGGGAATACTTGTTCGAGGATAGGGAGAGGTACAAAATTCTGTCATCAGTTCTTTCTAGTTCCCAAGATGGTCAAAACCAAGCTGCTCCAAGTTGGAGGGCTGTTACCTTCAGATACCCATGTTGATTTCAGTTGCCAATAAAAAGGCACAACAATAAAAAAGGCAATATCAATACTGAGCACAAAAGAGAGCCCTTTGTGTCACCAGCATGGCTCATCTATTCTGTACCCCACCACCACCTGCTTTCTGGGTGTGGGGCTGGAGAGGATTTCAGCTGCTGTGAAGGCTGACTTGTAGAAGGGGCAGTTCAGGCCAGCCAAGTGAATAGAAATTCACTGGTTACATCATGTTAGGGCAGAGGTGTTTTTCACACTTGGGGGTCTTCATAACTTTCTCAGTTTTCTGTGTGGCCACTTCAACTGGAATTTGTTTGGTTCATAGCGTAGCTCGTGACTGTTCTCTATAGTACAGCTTTTCTTTGCTGGTGAAGGAGGAGAGCAGAGGTGGGATCAACGTAGGGCAGTTTTGTTGAAGGATTCTTCCTGTCATCATTTCAGGTTAGTATAGATGTGGAATTAGCAACATAGAGCTTAGTTTATTCAAAACCACAGATGAACATTGGTCTTTTCCTTTGTGGTGTAAAATTAAGAGAGACTGTTGGTTAATTTGCTTCCTTAATGGTCCTTAAATGAAAGGACCATTTTCTGTGTGGGACAGACTTTTCCTACCCATCAGGAGTAAAATATCTCTCAACAGATAGTCCTGTTTCTGGAGGACTGGCATTGTTTTCTAAGTGTTACAGCCACATAGAAAACTTATGCCTATGTCCTTAGAGGACCGTGGCTGTATTAAAGCACCAACTTATTTATCAGATGGAAAGCACTAGCTAGTGGTCAGCAGTGAAAACAATTTTAAAGCATTCCAGCATTATCACAGAATTTTATTTTTTTTTTTAGATACCACATGTCAGATTTTGCAGGCTTTGTCAAGCAAGTTATTGTCATTTGTTCTGCCCACAGCTTGTGTTGTGTTGATTGCTGGCCAGATGATCTCAGCTTTTACTGTGATCTAGCTCAGGGCAAGATTTTTACTGAAGGGCTTATGAGCAGGCCGTATTAGATTTCAGCCGCCATTTTCCATAGCAAATAGCTGAATTCCCTTTTTTTGGGAAGGCCCAACTCTAATTCTGTGTAAAAAGTTGGCATAGGACCATAAAACCTGTTGTTTCTAAGAAGCAGGGGAAGCTGGAGTTTGTTTGGGGTTGTTTCTCAGATCTGATCTAAAAGATAGAAGAGTGATTGTGATTGATAATGGTTTGTATACTTTTTATTTTTTTGTTTTTAGGAGAAACCCAGAAGCTTTGCCCCTACTTCTTCAGCTCTTAGGAAAATTCAGTATTTTTGAAATACAATTGCTGGGATCTTTGACTGTACAAATTACTTGTGTGACTTATTCTTCAGGTTACTATCGTACAGAAAGAGATAAGGGGACACAGTATGAGCTGTTTTATAAGAAGATGGATGGCATGGAGTACAGGCATGTCACCTTGTTCCGACCTTTTGGACCCCTCATGAAAGTGAAGAGTGAAACGGTCGATATTTCTAGATCCATTATTAACATTATTGTTCCTCTTGCTGGAAGAACTGAGGCATTTGCACAATTTATGCAAAACTTTAGGTAGGTGCATGAGATTATATAGTGAGCTGTATTGCTGATTTTCAGTGTTTTGTTTCCTTTTCAAACTGAATTCCTGTTCTGGTTGATTTGTGACGGAACTAATGATTCCAACATTGTGTGCAACTGCCTTGGGATGTTTGTGATTGAGCCTACTGTATGGAGAAAACATTTCCTCCTAAAATGATTCTCAAATTGCAGCAAAACAAACTCCTTTTAGACCAAGTGCCAGGGTCATTGTGAACCTGGACACAGGTGATCTTGAACATCATTTTTGTATTTACATCAGTTGTAGAGCGCCTGTTTACAAAATAAGGTATTGGAATGTGACACACAGTATTGGAACCTTCTGATTCAAATGGGAAACATGGGGAAAGAAGAGGGGAAAAAGTCTTTCCTTGGGTTTTTCTGAAGCTATTTGGTGCCTGATTGGAATACTTGAATCTGCGAATACTTCTTAATGCAGTAGCTTTTTTAAATACCTGAAGTTTCTGTTGTGTTGCAAGTAATTATTAATATCATCTTGTCTTTGTGCTTCTAGGGATGTGTGCATTCATCAGGATAAGCGTGTTCACCTCACAGTGGTCTATTTTGGACAAGATGGGCTCTCGGAAGTACAAAACATCCTGGAATCCGTAGCTAGGTAAGCGTGTCGATCCAGCATCAGTCAATGCAAACAATATTGATTGGCATTTAAAATGGTTTTTAAAAAGAGTGAAAAAATAAAAATAATAAGTTTATACTCCATTACAGGTTACTAGGAAAACTAACCTTTATTTGCACCATGCTATTTTTGGTTGGCGTTTGACACCTTAGATTGCAAGAGTCTCTTGAAGACTACTAAAAATCAAGTTATAGGCCAGAAAAGACTGTGAGGTTTCTATCTGACAGTCCAGAAAACAAGAGGGGTGCATTTTGTAGTGGATATTCAGTCATGCTAACAGATGGATCAGAGTCTAAGTTCTTTGGAACTGGGATATACTTTTCAGTAGTTATTTCACTGGAGGAACAATTTTTGTTGTGGATTAGGAAGAGAAATGTAGTCTAAGTAGGCCTATACTTACCCTATACTGTAAACAAATTTTAAGCACAGTTTCATTGTGGCTGTCTCAGCAAATAGCATTATGTTGGTATGGATGTAAAATGCCCAAATGTTGCTTTTTCTTCCTCCAGAGGTATGGGACAGGTAAGAGTGTCTGTAACCCTGTAGCCAAGGGGCTTCTTCGCTGCCTGAGCTCTTGTGCTCATCCCTGAGCTGGAAGCCTGTTACCCTTTTTAGCCAAGAATAAGCTGAGCTCTCGTTTAAACCCTGTCTCCCAGTGCTGGCCAGGGCTCTGCTCGATGACATATACTTAGGCTATTGCATCACCAGCTTTTAACATGAGGCAACCAGTTGGCCTGGTATGCACAGGTGTCCTCTAGGAAGAGAGAAGAGAGTTTCTGCCTTTCTCCTGCAAAGTCTCCTTGTCCTCTAGCTTGCCATGTGCTGGACCCCTCCATCTCCAGGGCCGCTCTGCTGCCTGCCCTGCTCCCTGTGACATGTGCCCCTCAGAGCACTGAGTCAGATACAGTGCTGCAAACTCACTGGGCATTTATCTAGATCTGTATCTTCTCAGTGGTGCTACTCTTGAGTATCTTCACTCTGTTCTCTTCAAGCATTGCCCTCTGAAGTGTCTCTGAAGTAGACACTTAACTTTGCTTGTTCCTGGGTGTATTTCCAATTTCCTTTTGCAGCTCCTTCCCTCTTCTGCTGTGACTTACAGGCGTGTGTGCTACTGGTATGAAACAGCGAGGAGAAGCAAACTGACTGTGTTATGGTGGCATCACCACATAGGTGGCCTTGGCCTTTTGAGTTTGGAGGTGTCAGGACTCTGGCTTTGTGTTTGTCTTCCTGTATGAACTGGTGGACAGAGATATTGCTCTTTTAGTCAGGACTTCTTAGTTTGTGGGGAAAAATTTTAGATGACATTGTAGTTCTAGAGAGCAGTTTAATTCATGTCAGTTGCCTTTTAATCTGTCTGAATGATTAAATGTGAAGTTATGAAGTAAGACCGAGGTCTATCTTTTTACAAATGTCTGAACTTAAAATAGACAACTAAGTGGAACAGATACTTTCTTTTCTCATTCTGAGGATATAACTGTTTGTTGGTGTTTTTTTTCTTTGTATTTCCGGAACAAAATTACTGTAAAATGCTGAAAAAGTATAAATAGTCCCTCTGCCCGTCCCCCTGGGTTTATTTTGGGTTTGGCTCTGTTTTTCTTGTAGAGAAACTGACTTCCACAATTACACGCTTGTCTCTCTGAATGAGGAATTTAACAGAGGCCGAGGACTTGACATGGGTGCCAGAGCCTGGGAAAAGGGCGAGGTCCTGATGTTCTTCTGTGATGTTGATGTTTATTTCACAGCTGAGTTCCTCAACAGCTGTCGCTTAAATGCTGAGCCAGGTATGTTCCCTCACTGTTGCTGTAACGGAGTCTTGTCACCTTGTTTGACTTAACTGATCTGTGTTGAGCATATGGAAAACTAACTTGAGTTGTGGAGCTTACTGAATACCACACACCTTGGAAAATGAAGCATACTCTGCACAAAAGGAAATAGTATTTAGACTGAGAAATAACTTGTGCCTTAGTGTGGCTTGTTTTAAGAACACATGGTCTTTTTTGTACAACATGTGCAATTTCCACATTTTCTTAAGATTTTGTTGTCTAAAAGGAAGTTAGACAGTTTAATTGTTTTAACGATTACACTGCACGTAAATTTGTGTAACAAAACTCAGTGTAATGCTCTACAGTGGAAGATAATTTTTGTTGTACTGAAATCTCTGACTTTGTTTTATGTCTTCTCGCATTGTGTATGGCCAAGGCACATCATATATAAATAGTTTTCAGTACAACTACAACGTGCTCCTTACAGAGAGTGAGCTAATGTTCCACATTTACATCCCAAGCTCTGAAATTGTCTGACTGTTTTTCACAAGTTTGTATGAGGCTTGCTTGTTTTACAGACTTCTGCCAAGATGGATAAGCTTTCTTGAATTAACAAGCATGCTACTTAAGACTTTCTCCTGTCAAACATGTGTTTGGGTTCTTTTTTTAATGCTTACTTTTATTCTAGACTTGTTGCAGCCAGAAACCATTTTCTTCAAATGCCAATTTGGAATGAATAGATACTTTTTATTCACATAATAAACAAGCAAGAAAATCCTCTATAAGCCAGATATTTGGATTCTGTTTCTTGCTTTTTCTTTCAATTCTGTCTCTGCTCTTCATGAAACAAGTTGTATAAATACATGGAAAATTTTGGATAGGAGCATCTCATGAGCTTTAACAAAGAAGGGAGTTCTAGAGACTGCTTAACAATTCATACTGGCAGTTTTTGACCTTTGCTTCAAGTGAGATCTGAAAATGCTTCTCATACATTCAGAGTTCATGCTGAGATCAGAGTACTGAATATTCCTGTTGTCAATACCTTTGCACTGGCGATGCAAGATGTTTGTGATAAATATTTATCTGGCTTCTGTAATAGACAACAGAACTGGTGGTATCAGCATAATCAGGATGCTTGTGACGCTCAATGCCCTTGCAGGATGTCCTGGATATACCTGCTTTTACATGTTTGTGGAAACAGGCAAACTCATAAAACTTCAGCAGTGCAAGGTGTTACTTAAACTTGGTTATTTTTTAGTTTTACTGCATACTGTTATTGCAGGTAGTTTTCACTGTCATGTGGTACTGAGATGTATAATGTTTTTTGTGCATACAAGTATGTATAACTATATGTTAGTATAGACCAACAGTGTATATATAAATATGTGTACATATATTTTTGAATCCTGTGGGCCCTGCCCCAGTAGATGTTATGGGCTGCCTAAGTGGGAAATCCTAGCAGCTAGTCCTTCTGTTTGTTTTCACTAGATGGCTAATAGGTAATATTTTAGATAAAAAGAACATCTCTAGTTTCCTCTTGCCTTCAGAAAGCATACCCACAGTGAGTAACAACTACCTTTTGACTTGCAGGGAAAAAGGTTTTTTATCCTGTAGTATTCAGCCTTTACAATCCTGCTATTGTCTATGCCAACCAAGATCTACCACCCCCTGTGGAGCAGCAATTGGTAAGCAGCGTGATTTAATCTGGGTGGAATTAGGTGTGCTTTGTATTAAAACAAAATTAAGTGTAACTTAATAGTTTGTTTGGGATATCTTATGACCTTTGGCAGTGCATATCTAACCACCATTCTCCATTATGGGCAAAGCACTTGGAAGAGAAGCTTATCAAACGGTACAAAATTCAGATAAACTTGGAGTTCTACCTAGTTTAAAAAAAAATTATTGCTGTTAATCAAATGAAGTTGGTAGTGCTGATCCGTTGCTTATGATCTGTTACTTATTTTGGCTTGGAAAACCAGTATTTTAGGAGGATGGTGGCATGATATGGCAGCAACTTTCATCTTGTGTTCCAGCAAACAAAGAATTAGTGAAATGCAAAAAACTTCTGAATGATAAGATTTCCTCAGTATCGATTCTCTTTGGCAACTAACAAATGGTAGTTGCAGGAAGTGTGCCATGTAGCTTGAGGTGGGCTGAGATGTTCAGTCAGTTGCTTTTTCTTGTTCTGGACAGCTGTATTACACGCAGATGTTTCTTTACCTTTCTGATCCAAGATCTGTTATATTGCCAATTTATCTTGCTTTTGAAATGAGGCACTGCTTCTAGCAGTCAAGATAATAAACAAACCCTGCAAACATTCAAGAAAATAGGCTTAAGAATAACTTGGGGCTCAGCAGAAAGAAGGAATTACTGTATTTCTGGGTCTCTTTTTCCTTGGAGATGGAATGGCAGTGGTCAGTGTCCAGCCTGACTCTCTTTGAAGAGACTGCATAGATGAAATTGGGTCTTGCAGCTGAGACTTGTGAGAGGGACTGGTTTGGAGGAGGGAAAGGAGGGAGTGTTACAGAGCACAGCTGTATTAAAAGAAAAACATAATAATAATCGTTCCCTGTGTTGTTTGCAAGGATCCCACAGAAAGTTGGGGGGGAAGCTTTTGCATATGGCCTCAGGTAGTCACAGCTGAGAGAGGAGTGAGCCCCTGCCTGACAGCTCTGCTTTTTTGAACTGAACAATATTATGGTTGCTGACTTCAATCACAAAGCTTACTTTTCTGGTCATATCAGATCAAGAAGAAAAAAATGTGGCCTTAAAAAACAGGTAGGAATTGGGGTATTGGGAACAAATGGATTAGCAATAGACTACCTGTAATTTACTGCTTGGTCTGGGCAGATACATAGAAAATAGAGGTGGTGTGGCAGAAAGTTAAACATGGAAACTGCAGTGAGGATAAATATTTGTAATTGGAAGGCAAAGGATGAAGTGATCAGCAGGTCATTAGGAAGCCCACATCAGTGCATGACTAGAAGTGCTATTATGCTCTATCCTGCACTGAGCAAATGACTGGAAGAGCTTAGGTTTTTATAAAACCAAGTGCAATGTACCTCCTTCAATGTATTTTACATTTCAAAATTATACTGTTTTAAAATTGCAGGTACACAAGAAGGATTCTGGTTTCTGGCGAGATTTTGGCTTTGGGATGACTTGTCAATATCGGACAGACTTTCTGACTGTTGGTAAGGTGAAAGTGTAAAGAAAAACATTGTGTGTTTAAAAATTGATTCTCTGGTCTTATCTAATGACAGGAAAGTAATGCATTTATTCCTTGTATTATTTTCCCAAGCCCAGCAGTCAGACTTGCTTGATAAGTTTGACCAATGAGATTAAATTAGTTTTTGTAGATTTTGATGTCCCATCTGATGAGCGTTTTGTTGAAAGTCATGATAGTTTTAGTAGAAACATTTCACTCTAGAACTTCTAAAAATATTGCTTTTTTTTGGTGTGTTGTGTCTCTCTGAAGCAAATTAATCAAGTTTAAGAAACATAAGTAAACCACTAACATAAGCAAGAAGCAGTCAAATTCTTTCTTTAAACAGCCTTCAGCAGTTGAATACAGTTGTTCGAGGCTTTAGCAGTGTGCTTTGGCCCCCCTCTTGTGGCATGCTCTTAAAACTGAGAACAGCCTGGTGTGCTTAAATGTGGAAGACTGTCTTGAAGATAGTCTGCTAGAAGATGTAATGATATAGCCCTATGTGCTGTACAATGGCTTGGATACAGACTGATTTCTAGTAGCAGTCATACTGTCACCTGTACGGTATATGCCAAAGACTTAATAATTCTGGAGTTTTGAGACTGTGCAAGAGCTGGGTCAATCTTCACTGTGGTCCTAGAGATGCAAGAGAACTTAAAATGGTGAAACATGTTCCTTTCCTTAATCCAGCTTTTTCAGTTGTGACCTATGGAGTAATTGCTGGTATTTTTAGAGAGGACTTCTCATATGGTGCATAACAGCTTCATTTTCCAGCTGCTAAAATCCATTATGCTTCCTAAATATAACCCAAAAGCATAGCCAGTGATGTTTGCCTACAGTTTTCTGCAGCTGTCACACAGGATGTCGTGCATAATGCAATTTGGAGACACTCTTCTAAGAGAGTTTCTGAAGTCAGCAGATCTGTGTCCTGGGCAGTTTCTACTACCAAGGATGTGGTATTCTTGAAGCTCCTCTCCCTCAGATTGGCATGCTTCGGCATGGAAAACTTAGTTAATTGTTCCAGAATTTCTGGCATGTTGTACCAGATCTGGTAACGCTACACACGAAGCGTTGTTCTTTTTGCCTTACATCTAACCTGTGCACCCCAATAACATTTTCTGATATTGTTTTTATAGGGGGTTTTGACTTGGAAGTGAAAGGCTGGGGCGGTGAGGATGTTCACCTTTACAGAAAGTACTTGCATGGTGACCTCATTGTGATCAGGACGCCGGTCCCTGGTCTCTTTCACCTCTGGCACGAGAAACATTGTGCAGACGAACTCACTCCGGAGCAGTATCGCATGTGCATCCAGTCCAAAGCCATGAACGAGGCCTCTCACTCGCACCTCGGGATGCTGGTTTTCAGGGAGGAGATCGAGACTCACCTCCGTAAACAGGCTTACAGGACTAACAGTGAAGCAGTGGGTTAAATGTCACCCCTGTGACATTTAATGACTTCAAATTCACAGTGAACCAGCATCATTTTACAGCCTTAATTCAGCTTACAAATGCAGTGCCTCTCTTTTTCAGTGAAGAAGAGTTTAAAGGGTTTTTGTTTTCCGAGTAATTCTTTGACTGTTACGCTGTTACCTACATTTCTTGCGAGTTCAAGCACCTCAGATGAATTGGAAAGTACATGTAGTTCAAGGAAAATGTCTTCAGTATCGATTGGAAGAATCTGTAGAATGTACAATTCAACACTTTTCCATGTGGTACATTTCAGTTCTTATATTTGCATTATTTTAAGAATTAAATGAAATAATCTTCTGTGTCTTGAGTATTTTCAGTCTGTATGGCTCACTGCACTGTGACTTCAGAAGGATACTGTACTTGTACTCCATTAGAGAAACAAGAGAAAGGTGTGGAAAATAATCTCACCATGAAAGGTACATGGACATGCTGACCAGTACACCAGCTGTTCGGGTGCGGATTTCACAGCAACGGCTTGGTGCTGCATTTGCTGTTATTAACAGACATTAACATGGTTGAATATAGAATAATTCGGGGGGGTGGGGAATGAAAATCCTTTTTAAGTGGCATTTTAGAGCATATAATGTAACTTCACACTGCAAAGGAGACACCACCTTCTTATCTCTGTGATGGATCAGACAAGTTGGGAATGTTCCAGTTGCGTGTTTCTGGGTCTGGTCTTTTCCCACAGTAGATGCCACATCACAGAATCCCTTCTCTAAACTGAGCTATGCTATAAAAGTTGTTTGTTTAAATATTTTCGGCCCCACTCCTCCTTATTCAAAGGCCCTGCCTATGTGTCTCATCCTTTAAGTTGAGGAACCATCTTTTCATTCCCATACGAATTTGTTAAAGGCCTGTTTGCTATTATTCCAATATTATTTTTGCATTCTCTTTTGGGCATTTTCATGTCATATTTTTGTAAGGCAGTCATATACTCTTAGTTGTTTCAGTGACTGAAAAAGCAAGTGCTATTACAGTCTTTCTTTATACAATGCTCTCCATTCCACTCATTATACTAGTAGCCTTATTCTTCATTTTTTCAGTTGGAGGATGTTTTAGGGAGTTGGGGGTTCTTTTCCTTTTTTTTTAATTTTGCTTGGTTGTTTTTTTCGAGCATGCATAAGCGGAATTATGTTGTGGTCTCATTAGTGCCTTGTACAATGGCACTACTACTTTGCTACTTCCCTTTTGGGTATTTTGGGATGCATAAACATGCAGGCACGTCATTTCTCTCATGTTGTCTTATATGATATCATATGGCATGCCTCATTTTTAATACATTTGTTTATGGAATGAATGCTGAGAATGCTAATTCAGTGGTTAAACCATTTGTGTGGTCTCCACTGAATTTAGGTATTAGTTGAAAACCCTTCTCAAACCAGGTAATTAAGATCTGTTTATGAATTTCGTTTGCTCAAGAATTTTGAAGGCAACTAAAGATTTAAATGGTTGATTTCTGAATAGCAGATATGCTGTGCGAATAGTTCTGGGCACTGATCCTTTTTATATGTACATAAAATTTGCCTTTATGTAACTTATTGTGGAGAACAAGTGTACTGTATTGTACTTAGAGTGAAGAGAATGCATTGCAAGACTTCTTGCAGTTGATATTCTCAACATAATAAATGGAATTTATGCATTTTAGAAATTGTTGTAAGCTGTTTCTTTGAAATAAGTTTTTACAATAATATTTTACAAGGCTGATAACACACTGGATTCAAATAATAATATTTGCAGTGAGAAGTTCAGCCAGCTCAATTTTGCGTCTCAAGTCATCTACCCAGACCAGATATGCAAGTGCAGACTTCGTTCCTCAGACAACTTAAACTTCTAATAGATGTTATCTGACTTCGATATCTGGATGGTTACAAAAGTTATAAGGTGCCAGTAAGGAAAAGATTAAATACATTGGTAATATGACTTGAGGTAAAGATACAGATGGGGTATTCTCCTGAGATTCCAGCCTCTAAAGTTTCAGCTGCTACTGCTGTCCTGGCTCTGCTGCACAGGAACAAGCATCAAAAAATGCCTCTCACTGACATCACCACATTTGACATGCACTGAAATGGATACTGAGGTAGGGCATAGCGTTGCTGCACCTCAGCTCTTGGCACTCAGATGCTACTTCAGAAGGCTCCAGTTGTTCCAATTCTCATGTTTTGGAAACAGCAGACTGCTGATGCTGATAGCCACATCTCTCCTGTTCTGCTGTTTTCCACTGGGTGGTTGTGCTTATCAGCAACCGGGAGGGAGAACAGTGTCAGTTGTCCACATCTGTGTGATCAAAAACGGTCTGTGGTGTCAATGCTGGAAGGCAGTTGAGGAAGTCTGGAGCTGAGTGTAGTCATAGGAACCACTTTTGGAAACTTTTTCCATTCATCATCCCAAAAGGTGGAAGCAAATGCATTGGAGGGTAAAAGGAAGTCAGAACTCCTGGAAATAGTTAAATGTGAGGGTTGAGTATGACACAAGTATTCTGAATGGCTCATTATTTGAGGACTCCTGAACTTGCAGGAGCCCCAGCAGGCCTGGGGATTCCCTGTCTTAGTTCAGGACCCTGCAACATCCACTTGTGTGAGAAGATGTTGCTGTGGCACCCCTAGCTTGGCAGCTCATTAGAAGCACAGGCAACCATCACCTACTGCAGTCATTTCAAAAGCTATTGCTATGAGCTGTGTGCTCTGTTAAGTCAATGAGAGGTACTTGCAGCCCAATGGTAGTAACAAGAACAACTATAATTTTAAGGTTGGAATCTCCTTGGATGCATTTTGCTTCTGTAAAAGTGCCTCACTGCTTGCACCTGCAGGGAAGATGGTTTTACTGCTAACAATCAATCTGTAGAACATTTACTGCAGGAAAATACTCTGCTCTAATTAGTGCTTTACACATTCTTCGGTGGCTTATTAGCAACTCTGACTTTAGAAATTAAATCAGTTACTTAAAATTCATGGTTTAAAATTTGCACTTCCAGGGAATTATTACTAATCATGTACAGTTCATGTTCCCTAATGACTTGCCATTTTACCTACTCATATATCTCTAAATTATTATATTAGATTAACAATTATAAATAACTACCTTAAACTTACAGATTTTATTTACATCTTGAAATTAGGGGTTTTAAAAAAAATTATGATTCTCAAGTATTTTGACTGTTGGACTAGGCTATAGGCTTTGATTATTTAGTTAAAAAAAAGATACTAAAATTCTTACTTTGGGTAATGATTATCCTCAGTGAATTAATAAGTGTTTTTCAAAACAATGTTCTCCTGTAAGCAAAACCTTTACTGAATTAACTGATGAATATTGCTTGGGTGGATTGTTTTATCTATTTTAACAGGGATTCTCCAGTAGAGGACAAGATGCTTTATTATATCCCTACTAATCCCAAAATAGGTAGACACAAGGTTGAGACCTACGGAGAGGAAGATTCTGTTCAGAGTACTGCTTCAGAAGTTACTCACATTTATACAAAGTATCTGCTTTCCTGGTTCTGTTCTGCTTTTTGTCATTCTTTGTCTGGGAGTTTCTCTGCCAAAAAGTCCTCTGGCAGTGCGTCACTTTGTCTTGCTCCTGCACTATATAGGGAAAAGTCATGGGTAGACCCAATTTCAGGACTCAGATTTTGCAGTTGTAATCAGTTACTGCTGCATTACCCCAAGCTAACTGATCAAGTGTCTTCTCTTCTGTATGGCTATGGATGACAGTGACAATTTAATTATGCCCCCGAGCTGTTAACAAAAAACTGAGTCGGTGACCAGCACTGGTCAGAAAAATGTATGAATTTGGGGAGCTGTTTGTTTCCCCCAAGTCCTTAGCATACCTAGAAAGTACGTGTACTGTAGAGATATATTGTATCCTGAAAACTTACATGTCTCTTCACTTCTATAAATCTAACCTCATATTGCTCGTACTGTGCTCACTATGTGCTACCTTTCTTATTAACCCGGTCTATTTTTTCTTTGGGATGGCTCCTCTCTAATTTCTTCCAACTCTGTGCCTTAAAACTTTCAACCTTTTATAAACTCCATCCCTGGCTCTTTGGGGACGTGGGAGCCACTCAGGGTCCCAGGTGACAGAGCTGCTGATGCCTGGCAAGGGAACACCCAGTGGCTGAACCCTGTGAGCAGGACAGAGGCTGCTGGGCAGTGCAGGAGCTGCTCTGCCATTTACCTGTTCTGAGAACTGGCTTTAAACCACACAGCACTCTGTTTATGAACTCTGTACTATGGATTAGGCTTTTTTCTTATTTCTGTGTTTGTCATAAAATAAAATTATATAAAACCAGTAAACTTATGGCAACATGAAGTTCATGACAAAGAGCAGTGATTTAAGACCCTTACCCACACCTTTGCTCTGTAACAACTAGAACAGAAATAGGGGGATATGCCTTTATTATAAAGTGAGTTTATAAGTGATTTCAGTTACCTGAGTGAATTGAACTGCTGTCTGCATTTTGGCACAGCCACACTGTGATACAAGCAGGTGTGTTTGTGTACAGCTGTGTTGCTGTTTTCTGGCTACTGCTGTGAGTTGTAATGCAGGGCAGGTGTGCTCTTTCTCAGTAAGATGTGTAACTCTTCCTTGGATTTTTTCCTGAACTTAATCCAAGAAAGGGAGGAAATTGCTCATGGTTCAGATATGAAAATCTCTTGCTTGAATAATGAAATCTTCTGTGTGTTGCTTTATGCATAAGTTTGGTTGAAAGATGTTAGCCAAGTGTGTCTCGAGCTGGCTGGGGGTTGCAGAGATAAAATCCTTACTGCATGGATCTGCAGCCCCTGTGGAGAGTGCAGCTACCAGGTCAGATGGTGGGAATGGGGTGGTACAAGGCTGCAGACAGCATCACTGTGCTCCCTGCTGGTGGGAAGATCCCAGCAGCCAGTGTGTGCCATGGATGAGCTGCTGGCTGCTCGGCCAGTAGAGCCTTGGGCTGGGTTTGCTGTCTACTTTAGCAACCAACACAGAATTGAATTAATTGAGGGAGAAGATAAGCCCCAGGCGTGTCTCCTCCCACAAAACAAGTTCAGTAACTTAATTATCAATGTCTCAGTGTGGATACTGAGTTTATGGTACTGCTCCTCAGCTCCGGCCTGAGCTAGTGTACACGGAAAACAAAAAACTTGGCTCAAGGGGCCAAGGCCCTTAGGTTGGAGCCACAGGCAATTCCTAGAGAAAGGACGAACATCAGGGTTTTGAGTGGTGCACTTGGGTTGTCAACAGCTCTGACCTGCACAGCTCCAGGATGTCAGAAATGGGTGTTTGCCATGCAGGCACCATCACTGGCTCAGCAGAGAAGACCTGGTCTTGGCTTTCCCAAGGTGTGCTCTACCTCCAGATGGAGGATAAACCCCATGCTGTGCAGCTTGGGATGCTGCTGCTGGGGCACTGCAAAGGAAGATGACTATCAGGCTTTGGAGTCAATCAATTGTGCACCCAGGGTCATCATCTGGGTGACGTGTCTGGGTTTTGGGAAACCTTGTGTTTTGACACATGCTGTTTATATAATGCACTTTTTTTAAAGCTGTGGTCCAAGTGTAAAAAGCCAATTGTGTTTCCCTGGAGGAGTCACAGCATTTTAGTGCTAGAGTATTAAATATAGTAACAGTTGTTTAAATAGGAACATGCTCCACTGAATCGAAAAGTAATTTCTTTTTTTTTTTTCCTGTTCTGTGCTATCCACATAAATTGTAACCTTTTCCATGGAATTTACAATATATAAATTCCCCAGAGGGAAGGGGAGGTGTTCTTCAATAGGGGAAGATGAGATGAGATAAGATTAGCTCAGGGTATGGTTTTATTTTAGACCCTTTACAGGAAAGATAGCGGGTTGTGTTTTTTAATTTGTTTAAAAATGTTATTCAATGAGAGTAGATACTGTTTTGGAGAATCAGAAAATAGAGATGAAAAAGTTGAAAAACCTTAGGGAAATAGTTCTGGATCTGCTGCATCCAGAAGAAAATACTTACTGGCTTTTTTTATTTTCATAAAAGACTGAGATAAACACACCTATGAAAATCAAAACTTCTTTGTAAACTGTGTTTAAGACTGGAGAATTCCATGAGAAGGGAAAGAGAAGTAGTAGGTTAACCCTAACCACTTCTATCGGAATGCAGACGTGTATTTAAGTTGAAGGTTTTAGTGCAGGCCAAAATAAAATTAATCAGCTAGAATAAAATTATTCAGCTTTTTGTTTTGTCAGATCAGCAAATAAAAGCCTTTAAAAATGGTGATTCAGCATAAGTTAGTAACTCATTGATGCATCAGTGTAATGATAAAAGTTTTCTGTGTAACCAAGGTGAATGTAGCTTTCATTTGCCTGAGGTGCTCTTGCTGTGTGTGTGACCCCCAAATACGTGTTCAGGAGATTAGTCATTGAAATTTTACTCAGCTGTGAAGGAGAACGAGGAACATCCCATTATGCCTAAACTTAAGCAGTGTTTGGTTCGTGCCCACACAATGCAGCTTCTCCTTGTCAGGCCTGACTGATTGCAAACTAAAGGGCTCCACCTCTGTCTTCGCTGAAAAAGCTTTACAGGAAAGAAGACTATGATATAATGCTGTTTCTTATATTTCTGTGGTTGCATGGGCTCTGCACACCTCTGCTTTTGTTGGTATAGTATCGGTTTTTCTGAATGCCTGG